AAAAATATAAAAGTTTAGATTTAATGTTTCCAAGTGGTAAAAAAATATATCAACTGCAAAATCGATTCCTTGTGATGATACGACTACAGACTGAAAACTTTGCAGCAAATGTAACGACGTGGGATTTCACACTTTCCCGATTTACCTCTGATGTAGTTGGATCTGTTTTCATCCAGGAGACTGGAGGAAGACGTGCCCATTATGCCGTGAAGGTGTCCCCTGATCACTTTTAAGGTTCAGGTGTATGTATGTCCTCTATCGGCTTCAGATGCGGGAGCGCCCTGCTTTCAGCGACACGGGCGGGCCACTGTACAGCACCCAGCCTTTTATTGTCTGCTCTATCACACCAGGGCATCATAAACTTCCTCAATCTGCAGCGCCGCCTTTCATACTCTTCACTTACTCCATGCCTTTAACAAAAGCGTATAAATCGGAGTTTAGGCATTTTCAATGTGTCATATATCAAGAACACATACATTTGTATTTTTGGAAGAAAAAAAGTCCAAGTCTATTATGTTTGAATATCCTTTATTTTTGCTTTTATTTTAGGGTGGAGCTGAACATCTAAATGAACAGTAAAATGGATGGAATTAACTACTATATAGATTATGTTAAACGATTCTTTCAGATGTGATACAATTCCGTATCAGCTATTAAGACTAAATGTACAACATGACAAAAGCATCGTTTTTTCGAATTCTTTTATCTCTCATCAAAATATATTGTAATATAGCAATCGATTGCAAGTTACTTCACAACTGTGAAAGGGGGTATTTATTCACTTCTGCTATTATTTAACCCATGAGAATAATTGCTTAGTAAGTACATAATGATTAATTTAATTTTATGACGTTGAAAGTGCAATATTAAGGTAATTGTTACTACATTTCCCGAAAACCACTGCAGATAAACAGCCACCATATTGTAACAAATGGGCTCGCTAGAGCGCCTTGCCAAAGTTCGCTGCCACCACCTTTTTAATTTAATGATGCTGGGGAGGTCCAGCCAAATAAGGACGCCAGAATATGAGAAGATCTTTATTAAATATTCCCCGGATTACAACCCCTTCCCGAGGGCTCACACACATGTCACCAGGAATGGTACAACCGCAATTTCCCCCCCACTCCACTCAGAATCCAAGTGTACAGCACAGCAAGCTTAAAATCACAACACTCGTGCAAACCCTTACATGCGGCAAACAAACCATTCCCGATGCACCTTCTAACCCCGCCCTCCTGCTCACGACCGTAATCCGGGGATAAAATTCATACACACATACATGCTCTCGTTCATTCCAGAAATACACTATTAAAAGCGGTTACTCCCCTGGGAAGAAGCACACCCGCCCCCCGCATTCTCCAGGGAAGGGAAATTGAGATTCCTTGGTCAACAGGGGTCGTCTCAACCCGCTGTACCTTGCTGCCAGCCTTTTAAACCACGATTCCTATCCTTCTCAAAACATTACCCCCCGTAACTAACTAGCTTCATCCGCAGCCGGTCTACCACCGGCGACGGACACACCACAGTTCCTTTCCCCACATGCTGACAGCTCTCCAGCGCCCCAAAGTTTCTCTACAAAAAACCCTCTCCACCACCCCCCAAATAGACGTCCTCTTTATAACTCCCCCCCCCGCCCCAATCCTAGTCACCGGAGCGACCACGCCCAGAGCCGTTCACTACGGAGCCCCTAAGGGGACAAAGGAAGAGAAAAAAAATGACAGAAGGAAAAAAAAAAAAAAAAAGTCATGTTTTGCGTTATAACCCAAAACCTTTGTGTTATAACCCAAAACTTTTCTGTAGTAATGCAACAATAAAATCAGGTGACTAGCGTACTCAAGTGCAACTTCCAAAGCCGCTGTTTGCATGATGTAGTTGATCCCCGCTTCGCTTATTAATCTAATTTAACGGTTAAAAAAAACTTTTGAGTTCAGTGTGGTAAGATTTGATTGTTTAATTCATAATTAGTAATTTGTAAAGCAAGCCTTGGTAAAGTACGTTTCAGTAACATTGCTAATTAATGCTAATCTGTTGAGGTTGATTTAAGCCTACATCCATCGATAATCATGAAGCTGCCCAAAGTGCAAAAGCTGCTCGCGAATAAAGTTAATTACATCACCCAAGTCGGAGTAGTTTTTCCGTTGGAATAATCCCCTAAAATCTCACATAAAATCCTCTTAATCTGCCTCAGATTTATGTGAACATCATGCCTAGATCCGAGAACAAACTGAATGTCCATATATTGTAGACTAAGATCATAGTAAAATTCGAGTAAACGCTCCATGTTTTCCTATCAATTATGTTCCTTACACTGACTGATTACTCATATTTACAGTTCAAAGTCACAACAGTTTTGCCTTATGTCGCAAAAGTTTTAAGTTATAACGCAAAGGTTTTAGGTTATATCGCAAAAGTTTTGGGTTATAACGCAAAGGTTTTGGGTTATATCGCAAAAGTTTTGGGTTATAAC